AAGCATCCTGGATCAACTTTTTTCCCAATACTATTACAGGGGACAGAAGCCCAAAGTGGTCGAAAAGCTTTGTGAGGCACGAAAACATGCTTCCCTTGGTAACTGGGAGGACTTGATTCGACACAAAGTTCATGGCAAAGAGAAACTCATCATTTCGAGGGTCCCAAATGAGGCCGAGCGTCTTGATTACCTCATTGGTTAAAGTTGATCAAGCTGAATTAGGGTTTCTCTCTGCGACTGTGGAACATTATTGAGAATGGGTTCATAGTTAGTGCACCATTTGTGGACAGGGAAACTACCGAGCTCTAGCATTTCTTGAATTTGCTTCCGAATTCCCTGTACTTCTTCGACAAAGTCGGTGCCAGACAATACGTCATCGACGTAGCAGTCATTACGGATGACACGGTTTGCCAACGGGTACTTATCTCCTTCATCGTCGCAGAGCTGGAGCAAGGATTGTGTTGCTAGAAATGGAGCTGTAGTCGTCCCATAGGTTACAGTCAACAATTCTAGAATTCACAGTTTCTCGGACTTAAACGCCAAAATATTCGCTGAAGGGACGTTTGAAGGGGATCAAGAAATACCTGGCGGTACATTTTTTGTATGTCTACTGTTAAAACGAAAAGATGCTTGCGGAACCTCAACAGTATGCTTATCAGGTCACTCTGAACTGTGGGGCCGACCTGCAATACATCGTTGAGTGACATATTTGTAGATTCTATAGCCGATGCGTCAAAAACTACTCTTAACTTTGTGCTTGAGCTGTCCGGCCTGAGCACAGCATGGTGGGGCAACACCTCTTTGCAATGACCCAACGACTCATACTCACGAATGAAGTTTGAATACTGAAGACGGAGGTCCGGATCCTTGTTGAGCCGTCTTTCCAACAAATGGAAACGGCGGAGAGCTAACGACCGATTACTTTGCAACTTAGCGGAATTCTCTGGAAGCTTGACAATGTATCGTCCAGTGCTGTCACGGCGATGATTCTGGCGAAACGATTCTTCGTATTGCTCATCGTCCTCAGATCGTGAGCGTTTTACTTCTACTTCCTCAACTTCCCAAAACTGCTTGATGGTTCTATCAAGCGAGGCGAGCGACACCGAATGGACCTGCTGATAATTAACAACTGCATCTGAGTCCGTCAGGACCTCTCCTGATGCGACCCAACTGAGATAGGTTTCGGGAATTCTGGCAAACCTCTGGAAATAACTACGCTACCCGGTTTCAACAATTTGAAGAAATGTTGGTTACCAATCTGCAGGTCAACCTCGGAAGGACGGTGAAAGTTGGGATCAGCCAATTGAAAACCGCAAGGAAGGTTCAAATCAGACACATTAATCGGTTTGCATGGAAGAAGACCAGTGATCTTCGGGGTAACAAAACAATTGAGGGACAAACGGAAGTCACTGTACATGGATTGCATGTCCACTGTCACGAAACGATTGGATTTACTCTGAGTATCGCTCACACCGAAAATTCTCACATCCACTGACTTTCCCTGGAAACCGAGCTTTTCATACATGAGCAACGACAAAAGATTGACCTGCGCACCGCAGTCCAGGAAAGCACGACACGGGACGAACTGCCCATTGCAGTCAACGAGATTCACTTGTGCAGTTAAAAGCAGTACGTTCGGCAGAACGGCTGAATTGGCGAGAGAGTACGACGAAGAAACGGTGGCGGACTGCACACTTTCACTGGAGGTTTGACTGGACATCGAAGCCATATTTGGCACGACCGTGGGACGATCCGGCAGAGTTTCAGGTTTTGGATTCACATTGCTTTCAAATTTAGAGCCTTCATCATGGATGAGAGAATGATGGTGTCTGTTACACTTCGCGCATGTTCTCTTGGATGAGCAGTCGACTGACCGATGCCCGTGGCGAAGGCAATTAAAGCAAATGTTTGCTTCCTTCACCTTAGTGACGCGTTCGGGAATAGACAGTTTTTTGAATTCGGGACATTGGTAGTTGAAATGCGATTTTGAGCAGAACTTACAAGACACTGGTTTGGGATCTGGGGTGATGGTGTGCACTTTCACACCTACGGGCTTGTTTGCGTGTTGTGGGGGCTTCGGTGGCGCATTTTTCATGGGAATGGGAAGATCGCTTTCACACCTTTCAAGGACTTGGCACTGTTCTTTGAGGAATTTGAGGGTTTCATCGAGCTTTGGTAGTTCTCCATGGGCAAGAGTTCGCTCCCACAGCTTACGAGTGTTTGGATCGAGGCAAGATATCAAAATTTTGTTAACAATCAGATCGGATGTTCCTTCGGTCGATTGTTGCATAAACTTCAGACCTTAAATGTGTCGCGTACAAGAGTCAACTAATTCCCTAAGTTCTTTGTGAGACTCCTTACTCATTTTTTTTTCAAAGAAAGGAGCCCACCAATGTGAATGTCCACAATGACCCTGGGGTTTTCATAACGCTCCTCAAGTATTTCCCAAGCATGGGCATAGTTGTTGTCGGCAAATGTTCTCGAGTCAATGATGTTAGCTGCTGCGCCAACAAGAGATTTCTCCAAATGATGCAACTTAATGGCATCCGAGTCTGAACACCGGCCAACGATGTCCAAAAACATTGACTTAAATCGAGGCCAACTTTCATACCGACCATCAAAAGTCGTATGGGAGCTTTCAAAGGCTGCTGCTGCACAATAATTTGATTGTGACTGGAGGATGGAATATGGTTGCCTAGATTGGCAACCGGCTTGGAAACTTTTTCAATTAACCATTCGAGACGCATCATACACTCCGTATGAAGCTTGTCAAATTCATCTAGCTTGGCATCTTGTTCTTCCATCTTATTTTCCGGAACAATGCCCAAAATTTCTTTGTGCAGCGCAGTATACTCAAGGTAGTGAGAGTCTAGCTTTTTGGAGTAAACTTTGAGTAACGGGAGACTCTCCTGTTTGTCACTCACCTGTTACCCATCGGGATCGACTTCGTGTTCGGGAAATAAAAACACGTTCTCTTCTGTTCCACTTCAATGTATTGACTTTGATGGTACGATTACAAATGACAATGAGTCCGGTTGTGACCGGCGCTTTTATAGAAAAAAAAAAATGGTTTACAAAACAAAATGAAACGCTGTGATTGGCTGCCCGACCAGTGACGCTTTGGCAGGAATGAGGTACCGGCTGGTGTACAGCAATGACACATAGCGTTCGATGATTGGCTGTTGATTTCGGGTTGATGATTGTGGTGGTCGTTCACGCAACGACGGCAGACTCTCGTTCGCTGCAGCGAACAGTGCTGAAGGTGCCGAAATCAATAGTTTGTCGAGCTCTCAAAACCTACAAGGAAACACTGAGTGTGGAAAGGAATCAGCGGACCTACGAAAAAACTGGAACCAGGGATCGTCAGCAAGGTGTTGAGGTGCATTAAAGTCAAGGTACAACACCAACTTTAAAACGGTGTGGAACATGCTTGCCAACGAAGGATACAAGTCGTACAAGGCCAGTTAACATCCGAACCGACACATGAAGCAGAGTTCCGTGGCCAAAAAGCGTGCAAGGATCTTGTGCGACCGTGTTTTGACGAAACACAAGGGCTGCACTTTGATCCATAACGAAACATACGTCAAACTCGATTTTAAGCAGCTTCCCAGTCAACAGTTTTACATCGCGACTGGACGGATCCATTCGTCACATCCTCGACGATGACATCCCAAGTTTAACTCGAATAATGCCTGAAAAGGCGTATATTGTCGTTCATCCGCAAGCATAGGGGCAAAGTCATCTTTTGGCTCGATTTGGCCTGCAGCCACTACTCCAAGGTGGTTCTGGAGTGGTATGCAGCCAACAAGATCGGTTTTTTTCTCCAAACTAATGAATCCTTTGAATTTCTCGGAATATCGACCAATCGAAAAACGCTGGGTAATTTTAAAACAGCGACTTTATTTTACATCGGAATCAACATAGTAGGAAAAATTAGGAGTTTGGCAGTAGCAGTAGTAAAGGTAAAGGGCCACCCATATTAGATCCGGATCTGACGCCTTGCAGTAAACTAACAGCTAAATCTGCCTGACTGTCAAATTTACGTCAACGCAACGCAAACGGATCTAATGTATGTAGCCCTTAACAGTACTTCAACTAATGTACCAGAACCTGGGCGGACACTTGAGCCTACCCAGGGGAGGACCCGTATTCGACCACACATGTGAATCTAGAGTATCGCACAAGCTGCCAAGTGCAACGGGAAGGACGGTAGGTGTATAGACCTGGGGTTTTTTTTCCTAGATACGCCACCTTTGCGAAAGACACGGTATATGCCCTGAAAAATTACAATTTCCATTACTAGTTCATTCGATGGTATGAGAAAACGGGAGATTTGTCAGTCAGTCAGTAGAACATATCAGACTATAAAGTTTTAACATGTTTCAAGGCTATCTTGATGAAACTTCTTGTCGATAATGATTATAACATACAAGCGTATTCACGCTATTCAAACAATACTAGGTATTGAAGTAATGAAATTGGGTTGTTATCGGAATTTTTCAATATTTAAAACTGCAGTCTTCATCAGTGTTATTCCACCCCGTAAGGTTAGGTTTTTGATAAGTCTTTAGTATTTAGCTACCAAGCCTTTGGGATTTTTTCCTTATTAGAGATTTGAACAGATTTTTCTCCTTTACTTAAATCTTTGGTTATTATTTATTAGGTAGGTTCTAATTCTAAACATTGTAGTTTCATTTAAATACCTTTGATCATGACATTTTTACCTATGGGATAAGTACTTAAGGGGGTTAGGTTTTTGATAAGTCTTTAGTGGGAATGACTTCACATTGTAGTCGAAATACGTATACGTATACGTATACATATCTGTTATGGGTACCAAGATTAATTAAGTGGAATTAAATTAAAGATAACCTTTTTTGCTGTTTTATAACTAGGTATTGACTTGTTCATGATTGTAACATCCGAGTATGTGTAAAGTGTCCCGTGCAAATTTATCGGTTATTTGTGTCTTGATTGATAGTGAAGCATAATTTCTTTTTACAGGACTTCGCAGAACAAAACCCAGCCAAGGTGCCCCTTCGCAATGGGTTACTAATGGTAAGTATTACCTGTATTGGATTACCGTATGCTGCAACTACTGACAGCATGGCTGCAGTTTTCTTGGGGTCAAAAGCAAACCGTTAAAATATGTAATGCACATCCACAAAACATGCATAAATGGCATAGCCTATTTTTTTCAGAAGTTGTGACGGTCGTGTATTTGGTATAAGAAAACACGCTACGGGGAGGGAGTGGAGAGGGATCTAAAATTGATCAAAAAATATGACTTTATTTATGGATGCTCACTTATTTAGTCGCGTTTTACGCGGTATGTTTTTAACGTTTTCTCAAAAACTGTACAACTCAACAATCTCTAATCACATTAGGAGTATTCACTACGTGCAAACTGTCACTGTCGCTAAAATACATACAGCAATCTGATTGACAACTGATTGATGTTCGGTTGTACCGTGTGTGGAGTTGGTTAATGGTTGAAGTAAAATCAAAGGGTTTTAATTGATGGTGGGTGGATTGTGGCAGTGTATATGGGGAAGTCGCACAAACGTCGCCAAGCCATTTCACTTAGAGTTTTTTTTTAACAGAAATCTGTAAAAAAATTACGGAAAACTCAACAGCTGAACGTTCAGTGGACAGTTTCACAGTTTTCCTGTATTCTTTTACAGATATCAGTGAAAAAATTACAGATATTTGTAAAAATTCAGCTGTTGAGATTTCGGTAAAAATTTACAGATTTCTGTAAAAAACTTTAAGTGTATGGGTATGTGAAATGAGTAGGCGACATTCGTGCGACTTCCCCTTATACACTGCAACACTCCAATCAATTAAATCGCTTTGATTTTATATCAACCATTGTTGAAGTCCAGCTGTTGAGATTTCGGTAACATTTTACAGAGTTCTGTAAAAAATTCTAAGTGTATGGGTATGTGAAATAGGTTGGCAAACAGGTTGACAGTGATGAATCGGTCTTTTGAGGCATTTCCATTACTTTAAATAGAATGCTAACGTAAAATCCAGTTGTATCTTCAGTTAATTCAACTTAAAATAGATAGGTCAGTGTTATTAATTTTTCTATCAAAATGCAAAGTGCCCGCACTGTGTTTTCACTGAAGATGCACTTGAAAGTGCACAGAGTGTGGTTCTCCGGTGCGGTGTGGAAATTTTGAATTTTGATTGAGGGAGTAATAGCACTAAACTATCTCTTTTCAGATGGGTTAACTTAAAAGTCAATTAGATTAACGTAAGTATTCTATATTCAAAAGTAATGAAAAGTCCTAAAATAGCAATCCATCCCTGCAGGTTGATGTACAAGTTGTAATGATCGGACACGGAATAAAGAACGATTAGTTACGAAATACTTAAAATCTTTATTTTTACTTTCAATAGAAAAACAACCACGTTCGCGCGTTGATAGCTGCGTAGCAAAGATTGACAGCTTGAGTTCTTTTTCTTCGACGACGACCCGATGGAAGCCAGGCTGACCAGTGTTGCCGGGCGATGCCACAGGGCCCCTCCAGTTACACCAAAAATCTTACGCGATGTCCAGATTGTGTAACTTTCGTACGATGATCATCTTGAGGATATTTCTGCAAATCCGGATTACAAGTGAAAGCCGCTTTTATTCGGTCGACTGAAATGCGCTGCTGTTTTCCAGAAATAAGTACGTCGAAGAACTTAGCATCTCGTCTTATTACCTTGAATGGACCGTCATAAGGATGCTGCAACGGTCGCTTCACAGAATCCACTCGTACAAATACATGTGTACATGTTTTCAAATTGGCGTTGACAAAACTTGTCGTTCTCCATGACGTTTAGTATCGTGCGGTTTTATATTGTCGAACGTACGGTGAAACATTTGAGCAAACTCCGATCGGTCGATATCTCCAGGTGCAGACTGAAAGAATTCACAAGGAATCCGTAAAGCCTGACCGTAAACCATATCCGCAACCGAGCACTGCAGGTCGTCCCTAAATGCCACCCAAATGTCCCAGAAGAATCATTGGAAGTTCGTCGTACCAATTCTTAGAGTTTACACACATTATCGATGCTTTCAATGTTCGGTGAAAACGTTCTACGATGCCGTTCGCTTGTGGGTGATAGGCATTCGTACGAATATGGTGAACACCTAACATTCGCGTTAACTCCCGAAAGAGATCGGACTCAAATTGCCGTCCCTGGTCGGTTGTCAGGTTTTCTGGGACTCCAAATCTTGCTATCCATGTTGAGTACAGTGCTTGAGCCACAGATGCTGCAGTCATATCGACAAGTGGAACCGCTTCAGGCCATCTGGTAAAACGGTCAATCATGGTCAGTAGGTAGCGGTATCCTTGTGACGGCGGCAAAGGACCAACCAGGTCAATATGAAGGTGTTGGAAACGAGCCTTCGGTAGGTCAAATTTTCCCAACGGAGAGACGGTATGTCGATGCACCTTCGACCGTTGGCAGTCGACGCAGTGTTTGACAAACTCATTTATTTCACGGTTCATAGCTGGCCAAACGAATCGCTCGGAGATTAACTTCCTGCCGCCTCGTGCTCCTGGGTGAGAAATTCCGTGTAGGCATTCCATGATGGTTCTCCGTTGAGTACTTGGAACGAAAGGTCGTGGTTTTCCGGTCGAGACATCACAGTAGATCGGTTGAGAACAACCACTCATCCGTTTTGCTTCAAATTTTAGCGAAGTAGATTTGGATTGCATCAACTGCTGAAGCTCCGCGTCGTTTTTCTGCTTTCGTCCGATTTCTTCATAGTCCACCGAAGTAGGCGCTAGTATACTCTCCACACGAGACAATGCATCGGCGACGTAATTTTCACTTCCACTGACATGTTGTATATCCGTGGTAAATTCCGAGATGAAACATAGGTATCGTTCTTCATGCGGTAGCCGAGAGCTGGAATCGGTTGTTAGCGCGTATGTTAGTGGGCGATGGTCAGTGAAGATCGTGAAGTTGCGTCCTTCAAGGAAGTGCCGAAAATATTTCACAGACATTTTCATCGCAGTCAGTTCACGGCCAAAAGTAGAGTATTTCGTTTGGGACATCGAAAATTTTTCGGAATAAAATCCGAGTGGTTCCCAATTCTGACCATTTAGCTGCTGCAAGACAGCCCCCGCAGCAATATTTGAGGCATCGATCATCAGAGCTAATGGTTTCGACGAGTCAGGATAGTGAAGCAGTGCTGTCTCCGCTAATGATTTTTTACAACGCTCGAAGCTTGATGAAGCTGCATCTGTCCACTGTACTTTACGTATGTCGTTTTTCCTGTTCCCGGGAATAAGCTTCTGCAACTCAGCTTGGATGTCGGATGCATGACGAACGAAGCGTTTGTAGCCGTTGGCGAGTGCCAGAAAGCGACGGAGTTCCTTGACTGTTGTCGGTTTCTCGTAGTCCATAATGGCTTGGACGCGTGACGGGAGCGGCCGCACTCCATCACTGCTGATCAGGTATCCTAAAAATTCCACTTCCTTTTGGGCAAACACGCTCTTACCCAAATTTAGAACGAGTCCGTGCTGGCGTAGGCGGTCAAACACTATGCGTAGATGCTCCTGGTGTTGAGCAAGGGATTCAGAAGCGATGCATATGTCATCTATAAAGACAACAACGAAATCAAGATCACCAAAGATTCGGTTCATGTAGCGCTGGAACGTCTGACTTGCGTTACATAACCCAAATTGCATGCGGGTGAACTCAAACAAGCCAAACGATGTGATGACCGCCGTTTTGGGAATGTCTGCTTCCTCCACCGCAACCTGATGATACGCTCGCTCCAGATCAAGAGTTGTGAAAACGGACTTACCATGAAGCGAATGCAGCAAATCGTGGATGTGCGGTAAAGGATAACGGTCAGGTGTAGTGATATGATTTAAGCGACGGTAGTCACCAACGAAACGCCATTTCCCGTTCTTTTTCAGCACACAATGCAAAGGACTTGCCCAACTGCTACTCGATGGTCTGCATATTCCTAGATCACACATAAGGCGAAACTCTTCCTTAGCAGCTTTAACTTTGTCCGGATGCATTCGTCGAACTTTAGACGCCACGGGTGGTCCACGAGTAACTATGTGATGGGTTACGTCACACTGCGTGACAGAACGAAGCGTCGATGGCAGAGTTATTTCCCGGTACTCCATTAACAAATCGTGGAACGGATGATCGGCACCAACAAGTGTTACACTGTGCAGAGCAGCAGTCATCATACCTCCAGAAGACTTCAATCCTGTCTGGCCATCTATCAGTTTTTGGTTTTTCAAATCGACGAGTATGCCGAAGTGCGCCAAAAAATCAGCACCGATTATTGGCATCGTCACTTCAGCAACGAGGAAATTCCAGGTGAATCTTCGTCTCAATCCTAGGTAGACAGGAATAAAATTCGTTCCAAATGTCCGAATTCTACTTCCGTTGGCTGCGTGGAGCTGTTGTATAACGGTACCGTTCAATCGATCTCTCCTGGAGGCAGGCAATATTGTGACGTCCGATCCAGTGTCGATTAGAAAGCGTGTATTGTTCGTCCTGTCAAAAATTACCATTCGGCGACTTTCCGACACTCCGGCCACCACCGCCGATGATGTTGGGGAGGATGCTAGTTTTTTGAGCTCCATGAAAACGGTTCTCGGCACCGCTGAGCATCGTTTCCATATTTCCTATGGTACCAGCACAGTCCGGATCGTGATGACGAACGAGAACCACTTCGGTTTCACGAAAACGAACGGCCTCGCTCAGGGTTGGGAGCCTTCAGGCGTCGGATTTCCACTGTGAGAAGTTCGATCTGCTCTGCTAGCTTCCTTTCACCACTGTTGCTGTGCGTTGGTTCGTTGTGCACCATGGCAACTGCGGAGGACTGACCGTTGGAGGCGTCGGTGATCTTGTCTGCCATTTCAGCCAACTTCTCGATGGTACCATCGTGGCATGTGAGAATTGGTCGAATGTTTGCCGGGAGGCGTTGAATGAAAATCATTTTGAGCAGATTGTTATCCACGCCCAAACCCGTCGACAACTCTCTCATCTTTGCTAACAGATGCGTTGGGCGCATATCGCCAAGATCG